CTGAGCTACGCCGAGAATTAGAAGAACGTGAACTGGAGACGACAGGGAAGAAATCAGATCTGGCAGAACGACTTAAAAAAGCACTAGAAAATGAAGGTTTGGATCCGGAAACGTTTCTATTTTCGGATGATGCATCTGCTATAATTTCTTCAATTTCTTCCGATATGGAAAGTAAGATCTCTTCTTTAAAAACCAAAATTTCATCAGATTTTGAAACTAAAATGTCTTCCATAGAAAATAAAATTTCTTCTGATGTTTCTTCTATAAAAAGTGACATTTCCTGCTTAGAAACTAAAGTTACTTCCGATATATCTTCCTTGGATGATAAAGTTTCTTCTTTAGAAAACAAAGTTTCGTCTGATATTTCTTCCTTAGAAGAAAAGGTGTCTGCAGAAATGTCTTCTATAAGAAATGAAATTTCTTCCGTTGAGAATAAAATGTCTTCCGTTGAGGAAAAAATAAAAGAAATGGAAAAGAAGATTGAAGAAATGGAACACGTAGACCAAACCAAGAACGGTGAAATAAAGTGCCATGAGGTGGAGTCGAAGTTGAAATTGGAAGAAGCTGTAAACTCTCCTCGTGTTAAGGCTCCAACTTTCGACGGAAAGATGTCATGGACGAACTACCTTAAGCAGTTCGAAACAGCTGCCAGAGCAAACGAGTGGTCTGAACGAGAGAAGGCAATAAATTTGACCATCGCCCTTCGAGGAGACGCTTTGGATGTCCTTTAGACTATACCCGTGGAAGAAACAGATGATTTTGAGCAACTCAAAAAGAGACTAAATATGCGATATGGCCACGAACACTTGAAGCAGGTATACAGATTACAGTTGAAGAATCGCAAACAGAAACGTGACGAGAGCCTTCAAGAATTTGAATTAGATATTGCGAAGATGGTGCGATTTGCCTACCCGTCAGCTCCAGAAAACATGATGGAATGTTTGGCTGTTCAAGCATTTGTAGATGGACTTCGTGACCATGAAATGCAAAGAACACTTCGTTTAGCCCGTCACAAAACATTGGTCGATGTCTTGTCCGCTGCTCTTGAATATGAAGCGGCTACGCTGGCTTCTGGTAGATACAGTGAAGTAAGAACTGTAAAAGAAGAACAGGGAAATAAATTGGACCAATTGTTTCACATGATAAAAAGCCTTATTGAAAAGCAACCGAAGACTATTAGGTGCTGGAATTGCGGTGAAATGGGAAAAGTAAGCAGTTCGCGCAAACGTCCAAAGAACACTACGAATCGAAAAACTGTGGCTGTACAGGAAGGAACGGTGTTACCTGAAAGTAGTGAAACCATACGAGTAAGGCGGTTGCAAGAAACTGTAGAGAAGGCAACGCCTGTCATGGCGAAACCTTCGAAGCGCAATAAAGGTGTTGGTCAAGGAACTTTGGTTGGAAAGGGGTTGGCCACATCTGTTAAAGAAGTTACAGTATGAAGAACGTCGGTTGTCAGCGATGAGTGGGCCCCTGTCAAACTTAGGGAAGAACAAGAGAATTATCCCGTCTTAAAGAAGATACAAGAATGGAAAGAGGAAAATCGTCGACCTACTTGGCAAGAAGTATCGAAATTCTCTCCAGTAGTTAAATCATATTGGGCTTAGTGGGACTCCTTTATCCTGGAAGATGGCTTATTAAAGAAAACAGAAGACAGTTGGTCATTCCAAAAAGTAGAGTAGCTGAAGTACTCCGTCAGTTACACGACAGTCCATCAGGAGGATATCTCGGTGTTAGAAAAACCCTTCAGAGAGTTCGGGAAAGGTTTTACTGGATGAACAGTTCCGATGATGTAAAGGACTGGTGTAAGAAATGTACCACCTGTGCTATGAGTAATGGACCTCAACGAAAAAGGAAGGCTCCCATGAAGCAATATAACGTTAATAGCCCATTTGAGGGTGACCATGAAGAAGAAGTAAACCAACTTCGAGAAACACCTGACTTTGTCTTTGGGTGGATATGGAGGTACTGGGAAAGTCAGATATGGTGTTACGACCGAGCAACAACAAGATCTGCTCTCGCTTCCGAAAGACTACTCGCTGGTCCATAGTACTTCCGCCAGCATCAACGACGCGCGAGGACTGGCATATGTGTTCCGTAAGAAGTTTGATCGACTGGTAGAACTTCAATATCAGTTACCAGCCCCTGGAAAAGCCATGAAACTTCAAGACGGGTCACGTTATCTTTTTTATTTAATAACGAAGAACACCTTCCGAGATCTATCCACCTATCAGTCTGAGGGAGCATGTACTGGAGTCCAATGTACAGAAACTAGCCATGCCGAAGATAGAAGGAAATCAGCTGGATTGGAGGATCATTAGGAACATGGTGGAAGTAATCTTTCAAGATACCGGAGTTCAGATATTGGTCTGCAGCCATTCGCCCAGTGCCCAGGTTACAGCGAAGACAGTCCCTTGTTACTTCCATGCAACTGGAAATTGTAAAAGAGGATTCAGTTGCAAATACAACCATTCCAGTTTAGTTTCGTAAGAGTTCCAGGAGGAACTATTCAGTTGCAAATACAACCATTCCAGTTTAGTTTCGTAAGAGTTCCAGGAGGAACTATCTCTTAAGGAGGGGGCAATGTTATGTGAGCCATTTCATTATTCAGTCATGCTCTAACCCTACAAGTCCTTCTCTGTCTTATTTGGCCTTTGAGGCTCAACTTGTCCGATTATTATACATAATTAAACCCCTTAAGATTAAACCTATGGGACGACTATGGTGGAGACACTTTCGCGAACATTCCAGAACCAACGAGATACTATTTCTAGAACGTGATAACGTTTCTGGTACATACTGGCAATTTTGGTGGGGGAGCATTCTAGACCACCAATTTGTATATAAATTGGTGGAGGAGAGCCATCAGAATCAGTTGTTATATGGACAGTGAAGATAAATAGTAATTAGTAGATAGACAGTGGTGAATATAAATAGTGAGCGATTTAAAAACATTCGAAATATATATAAATTAGAATAGTAGTGTTATAAATAAATAAGTGTTTAAATAAATTATTAATTAATAAACTGTTGTTTAAAATAAACAAACGTCACAATAATTTAAATATTTTATTATCATTCCGGCAATAAAGCGATTAACGTCGAGCGACGGGCGCGCTGTAGTAATATTATTTGTTTTTTTTTTTGTTTCCAATGACAGTATTTGAACTTAATATTAAAAATCAATCTTTCCTAATTTATGTATTTTTAATAATATTATGTTTTTATTTTTAGTTGTATTTATATGCGCGCCACTGGGAATAATTCGCGATATTATGTGTCTCGAGAATATTGGAAGCTTTAAATTTATGCAAGGATAAGGCAGTACTCTACAGAGACCGTTAAGAAAAAGATGGGAATTCTTCCCATTTAAAAATTAAAAATAAAAAGTAGTAAATTTTCAAAATAAATACTTTTAGAAGGTTTACAAAAAATTCAAGGTTTCGTCAGCCTAAGTTTTATTATTATTGGTATTTTCTGAAAATTTTACAAAAATCGAACTAAAAATAAAGGCTGGGAAGGGATTATAAATTGTAGTGGTGTTAGGTGTTAGTGGTGTATTAATTTACTTATTTCTTTTTTATATTTATTTGTTTCTGTATAGTTTTTCTTTTTTATATTTATTTGTTTCTGTTTAGTTTTTCTTTTTTATATATTCGAAAATGTGGTCAATATCTGTCGAATAGCTTCGCTTCAAACAAATATATCTTTATCTCTATCCTTTTAAAATTAATGTAACGATAATTTAATTTATTTAGAGTTTATTTATTTACAATTTATTTATGACGTACTAATTAATTTATATATTACTTAGGCACTAACTCACAATTTTAATTTATTTATTACAATTTAACTTTTCTGTCCAACACTTTATTCTTAACTGCTCGTCCGCCAATAAGTCGCGCTATTTATACCAAGTCCAACTCTACTACGAGAAGTCTCTAGACCATGTGGAATGTCCTAGAATTCCATCTTAATTACTCAACGTCGCGTACTGCTTGTTCTGGATAGCTATTCACTGTCATGGGAGCGCTCCCATGGGAGTGTTCCCATATATTTTGCTCTCTTATTCTTAGGTGGGTATATCGTGCTTACTCACTTTTAGCCCGGGTACATGCGTAGTTAGGTCGGAGTAAGTACGATATACCCACCTAAGAGTAAAAGAGCAAAATATATGGGAACACTCCCATGGGAGCGCTCCCATGACTTAGTGAATAGCTACCCTGGTATATTCGAGATGCGAAGCGTTTCGACCATGATTTGAGTGGCAAGCTGAAGGTCGCTTGCTTTAGACAGGGTTGGCTTCAGCATCACATTAAGTTTTATTATAAAATTTTCGCGTTATTTATGAAAAAATGTGGCAAAATTAGGTAGTCGTATTCAAATTTTTTCCTCACAGGCACAACTCACCTCCCGCTTTTTATTTTTTTAAATTTGGCAACCCTACCCCAGCAAATTGTATCTTTATTGCTGTAATAAAGTTTGTACTTTTAAATCAATATATTTCATCATTTTCTAAAGAAGGATAACCGTAAAGTACTTATTAAAAATAAAATAGGCAATTATAAAAGGGTAGACATGCGAAAATAGTGGGTTTCTATTCTAAAAATCGATAAAAACCTTTTATCTCAATGCTAGTATTCTTTCATTTCGTAGATGAAGATTTTTGTTCATTTGAAGGTAAGTTGTTTATATGAAATGTTTTAATATTGTTGAATTCATTATGATTTAATACATATACAAAAGCCCGCCCAAAACTTACACAATGTATAAACAAATCTCCTACTTATAAGTGACAAATGATAGGCGCGCGAAAATTAATTTAAATCACGAATTATATACGTCGGACACATATTGATGCGCGACATCGACAGCGACATTAGAAATAAGAAATGCGATACGACAACCGCGCTGTTTCTCCTAAAAACTTTGATTGGTTTGATACGTTAGGTAGAGGGGACGTACAATGTTGCCATTTACATTTAAATTTTTAGACTCACCCTGTGTCCAATCCATTCTAGGTCGCTGTCCGATTCGGAACTGGTGTTGTATTTCCTTTCTGCATGAGTGTGTTTATGATGTTTGCTACTGTAATCTCTAACATGGCCGTAATTATTAAAATTCGCCGCTGCTGTGGGTACGCACTTACATGTCTGAAAAAAAAATTACTTGTATTGAGATAATTTGTAACAATAACAATAATAATTTGTTTCAAGAAATTGTTTTGATTAAAATGTTTGTAGAGAACCAGTTTTCTATTAGATACAATTATTAAATAATAACAAAGTAAGGTTACAAAGAACTGATAAAAAATAATACACATGTTCAAAAATGATAAGCATTTTTTCAGAGATACTTTAGTTACTCTATAAATAATCCACATAAATCTTCCCGTATAAATAATATACAATAAGCATAAGAACAACAATATATTTTATTATTCATTCAGTACAATATATCTATATTTTATTTTATATAAATAAAAAGTTCCTTGGTTTAATCGGTCGAATAGTTTTTATTTTTTATTATTTAAGCACTACATATATATTTTTTTCCGAAACTGAAAAATTGACCAATAGAAATCTAGATTTTTAAACAACCAAGTAGGCAGACCCAATATTTTTTGTAGAATATTTTGACAGGTTCTAAGAAATTCGTGTTTTATGAGTTTCAGTCTTTTGCTTTAGTCAAAAACCTTTCACTTATTTTTAAAAAAATGTCCATCGATGAAGAGTTTTCATGCACACCACCTGAAATTACAGAAAAGGCAAAACATATATGTTTTTTTCCGAAACATATGTAGTGCTTAAATTATAAAAAATAAAAATTATTTGAGCGATTAAACCAAGGAACTTTATATAAAATTCTACTACTGTCAGAAAATTATCCCTATTCAAATATATTTTATTATTCATTCAGTACATTATATCTATGTATATTTTATCATTTATTCAGTATATTATATCACCAAATTTAAAAATATTGGAAGAAGGCTCTGGCGTATAGTTTCGTCACTCGCGCTGACACAAGTATAGTAAAAAATAGACCGTTAAAACACATCCAGCTCAGTGTTGCCAGAATATATTTTTGTTATGTACCATATTTGTCTGAAAAATGTACCAGATTCCATAAATTGTACCATATTTTTCGAATTGTGATGGTTTGGTTCATTAAAGAGCAAAAAAGCTTTTATCGAAAACGAATACAAACAAGGAAGAACTTAACAATAAAACAGGAAAAAAAAGTACTACATTTTGCTTCGAGTGTACTAGAGTATCAGATTATTAAATACTGTACTAGATCTAGTACAATTGTACTAGACTAGCAATACTGATCCAGCTACAAACGACAATATTATATCCTTCTCTGCACAGTAAATCACGCTAACATCAGGCGATGTCCCTCAACCAATAACAACGAGAACTTCCATATTTGCAACTACTTACACTCAAATCGACAAGAAAAACATTAAGAACGAGTTTGACTATTGACATATCAATATCTTTGCTTTCTCCCGTCGCGAACTCGACGCTAATTTTAAAATGTGTTAAACCTGCTAAATATTCATAAATCGTAAATTTAAGCATTCATATATTTTCACTATGTAAAATTGTTGTAAGCTGAAGGAAGTTTACAGTGTAAATAAAGTTGTTAACTGGAAAACACATTTAATTTCATCGTGAACAAAAAAGAATCTGGCAGTTTATCTACTGGTCTACTAGCTACATTACTACAGTCCACTGCCCCAGCTGATAAGAAGATAACTCTTCTTTCTGCGAGGGCGATTGAGAAGATATTCAAAGTCACAACGAACACTCATGCAAAAAAAAACATAGCATAATTTTAAATCAACGAACGTAAAAATTGAAGTGACTATCCGTCCTGATTTAGGCGGGACAGAACCGATTTAACGTGTCCCGATTTTGATCCGCTTCTGTCTGATTTAAAAAAATTATCTATAATTGAAAAATTCCTTGAAAATTCCCAATATTTCCCTTACGAAATAATGAAAATTATTCTAAAACTCCCAAGGTGAAAACAAATTTAATGAAAAATTGAAGAAAATAACATTTTGTGTCAACATTTTCTGCAATTAGTAGAATACATTTTATGTTTACCAGGTAAGGGAGAGTGGGGGAATTGTGCGCACTTAAGCGAAAATCGTTATAGCACTGATAGCATTGTAGATCATTTAAATGTAAATACCGTAATGGAGGTGCTATTTAGTCTACTCTCAGCACGTAAATCAATTTTAGGAAAAAATAAAATATTTAAAGTACAATACTGCTGAAAGTACAAAAGTGCCGTTGCGGGTAATGGTGCGCAAGTGTTGGGGAATCGTGCGCATTAAAAGTATTAAGTATAAGATAAAACCAACACTAACTTTAAAAACATTTATTAAAGTTGTGGAACATAAAAAAAACATTATACTAACTCCTAATTTGAGCATAGGTCACATTTATAATTTTTCGGGGTATCTGAGCCAGTACATTCGGCATGGTTCCAAGTTGAGCAAAGGACACATCTGTACAGTTCATCAAATTTCTAGAGGTGTTCGACGCCCAGACAGAGAACGCGCTACGTGTGACTAAGATAGCTATTGCACAGTCTGCTAAACAAGTTATTTTAAATAGTTTTTAATATTTTTAGGTAATTAAATTTTAAAAGTGTGGAATAGTTTAGGGATTAAATTGGTCTGATTGGACTTTCTTAGAACGTTTTTAAAAGCAGCTAAAGATAGTATGTAGAATTGAAAATAATTATTATGCCATAAAAGGTGTTTTGGAATTCCTTCAACCTTTTGAAATTGAGTCAGAAAATATAAATTTTATAGGATAGCGGAAAATACCTATAATTTTTTTGTAGGCCTTTGTAAATCGTGGAAATAGTTTATATTTTATTTCTACCTTATTAAGGAAAATGGTACCTATTATTAATAACGGTTGTTTCTGAAACATAAAGTATGTGCAAATATCCGATACATCAACTGATGAATCAGATGATTCAGGCGTTGGCGGTCTCTTTTGTTTGCTTTTGAATTTCTTTGAAGACGACGGAGTTGATAATTCACCGTCCAAACATTACGAATAAATTATTTACTATTCTTATCTTTCAGTTTTTCTTTGGTTTTGATTGCTTCTTCTCGTTGTGTTTTTTTTCTCTTCAGCTTCTTCTAGTTTTGTTTTGTAGGAGTGCTCGTAAGAATTTCCGATTTTTCTTTGTTCCTAGATTCTATTTTCGTTGTCTGATTAACTTTTGTTTCTGGTATTGGAGCCATAGCAAAGAAATAATGATTATAAGACGTAGATGGCTGAGGGCTCGGATCTCTCTGATGTTGTAAATCCGGGTGATTATCTGGAGGAGTTGCTGCACCATCTTGATTGGATGAAGTTTCAAGTTCAGGTGTTGCTTCTACTGTAAGTTTTCCTACATGGTGGCTAGGTTCAAAATCAGCATCTGTAAATTTGTCGGGATTCAATGGAGATATTCCAGACGTCCGAAACCCTGAAACTGCTTTTTCCATTTTAGCAACTTTCATAAAGGCTTTGTTTAAAAGTTTGGCTACGTCGTATTCAGTTATTTTTTGATGACCGGTACTTGACAAGTAAATATCATATTCTCTAAATAGTACATTTTTCAGAAGGCTAAAAAATATCAGATCCAGAGGCTGAAGGTGATCAGATGTGTGTGGAGGAAGCGAGACCATGTGGATGTTATTTTCTTTGCAGAAGTTATAAGCTTCAATTGAAATGTGGCTGGAATGGTTATCCAGGGCCAGAAGGACACAGAATGGCTTAGCATGCCTCTGAAAGTGACCCAGCCACTAAAGAAAAAGTCCGGAATTGATCCAACCGTTCTTAGAACATTTGTAAAACGCCCCAATTGGTCCATTTTTCTTGAGAGTTTTGGGCATCCTTTTCCTAGGATATATTATCATGGGAGGCATGTAGTTCCCAGCCGCATTCATACAAAATACAGCTGTTATTGTTCTTCCTCTTTCGTCAGAAATTGCAGCTCCTACTTTTTTAGATCCTTTACGACCATAAACTTTAGGGCATTTCTTCTGCACCGTGGTGATGCCTGTCTCATCCATGTTGTAAACACTCTTGGGTTCAAACTTAAACCTTTCCATGATAGTTTGAAGGTTTGAAAAAAATAATTTGGTTGAGTCCTTATTAAAAGATGCAATCCTATTCAAATTGGTTCCTTCAGGCTGCCGTAGCTTTATATCAGGTGACCTTTTTAAAAATCCATACAGCCAGTCCTTCCCACGGGGGTTTAAATCATATGCAAAATATGCCAACCTGTTTACTGCGCAGACCACCCGGCGCTTGGGTGCTCTGAAGTCCGTTTTACAATAACCAAATTGTATTAAAATGTAAAGCACACTGAATAATTTAATAACATCTGGCTCAGTAACACAAAAAAGTATTATTTCAACAATTTTAATTTATATATTAAACCAAATTAAAAAATCATGCCTTCACTTAGTTATTTGTACAATGTTAACCTGTCTTTATGTCCGCTACATGCCTGCTGGCTCCCCCCCGTGTGACCGCTGCCACGGTGACGCGCGCGCTAACAACAAAAAGTAAACAAAAAAACAATATGGTTATGGTTGCCGCCGACGAAAACATGTGAGTGAGAGTATTTTTTATTAATTTTAGTTTTAGATATAAGTTATTTAGGATTATTTAAAATTAAGTAAAGGTATTTTGATGCTTTAACTAGAGAAAATACATAATTTCCAAATCAAAGAAATAATGGTGCCACATTTTAAACATTTCATGTGAAACCAATCATGAATTATGAGATAATTTTGATACGAAATCGATTACAAACACAAATTGTTCAAGACTAAGACTGCTAAGATTTGCTTGCTTAGCACCCTCAAAACCAGATACACCAAAGATAATAATACTTAGTAATGTTGTTATCACACCTCCAGATTACCTGTGTTGCATTCCAATAATATAGAAGATCAAAATTTCAAAAACAGTCAGTCATCAATTGAATTTGAATCTTACATAAGGAACAACGTTTCGATAATGGATTTTTAAATAAATTTTATAGAAAACAGAAAAGTAAAATTTGCAAATTAAAAAATGCCCTATAATTCCTAATGTGACGTTTAAACTGCAGTCAAAATTTC